TCACAAGTAGTTATCACTGAAGCTTCAAAGCTCAAACACTGGTATTCAGGATAGCACTACTGTTCTGCAGCTCTGCTTCAAATACTTAAGAAAGCTTTTTGCCATCATTTTCTGGAAAAGAGCAAACTGCATTTATTAAGATTTTCCCTTCAAACAATCAATTTCAGAGGAATTATTTTAGAGTTTTAGAAAGATGAAGAATATGATTTCTACATATGTTTTAGTTGTATTTGTTACATTCATTTTCAGGCAGTCAAAAAGTGAAGGACTTGAACTTGAAAGTCTCTTTCCATATGAGATAGAACATAACATTGGAATGAATAATTTTAACAGTATAATTGCTGAGAGATGATTCAAAAAAACACATCATAATTACTTAAACTGACATGATCATAATTATACACCAAAACTTTGATCTGGACCAACTTAAAACTTCTTGGTACATAATTCTGAGCCACAAGAGGCATACATGGAGTTACTTGCTCTTTCACTTGCAGAAAAATCTATGTGAAAATGGTCATGATCAACATTCTTATAATATGAATAGATCAAATGACTAAGTGTAATCTAAAAGGGGCAGTTAGTGGTAATAAAACCACAAAGAATAATCCCTGGCTCTGTAGTTTGAAGAGTTCCCATTTGAAGCCTTAAATTTGGCATTTTGGCCATAGCCATCTTGGCTTTTTGGAGCCAAAAGTGACCATATTTGGAGAGGAGGATGGAGCTGTGGAGGAGTGAGGGGTGAAACTGACCCTGCATTTTGATAGTCTTTCAACATGCCGTCGTTGACTTCCCCACGGCACTTGCCCTCATGGGGGACTCCCCGTTGCCATCATAAGTGTCATTCCATTTGTCTGAAGCACTGAAGCGAATTTGGTGAAACAGACTCTCGGAGGGCTGAGGGAGTGAGTGAACAACAATGGTCACTCCAGAGGTCTGTATCACCCACAATGCATTGCAATTACGCATTTGATGCAAGAAAGTACATCCATGGTTAGGGGGCAGAAATGATAAATTGGAAAATAACTAAAATAATAAATTAAAATAGAATTAAATGCTTTACATGTTTACATGCTTTTCAGTATCAGTTTTTCTAATAGGTCTGTAAGGATAGGTAGACATACAGGTGCATAGATTCACTTGTCTATCAGCAAATAATTTCTCAAGAAAATTTCAAATATCTTGATACTTGACTGAAAAAAATGTCATACAATTAATTGCTAATATTTGCTTAATATTTACTGTGATTGTTGTACTGTTGTGTAATTTCTTTTTTCCAATATTCACTGTGGACTCATGGAAATGTTGCTGTTTTGCAAGATATCATAAACCTGTAGCAATAATAATTATGACAATACAGATAAACAGAAATTTATCAATCAGAAACTGATGTAGCTAATTACCAGTGCCTGCCGATATATTGCAATTATCTGCAGAATATGCCTTCACCTCACAGAAGGGAGTCTGCAGTTATCTGATGATATGTAAAAAGGAAAAGCAGTGTAGTGCTAATCCTGCAACTGGTGGTTGATCCATAATAGTTGGGCTGAAAGTGAACGAGGGAAGGTGCATTCCATCCGTAAGCTGTTACATAATACCAGGGGCTGAAGGTAAGTGAATGAAGACAAGTAGAGCTACAAATGAAATGCAGAGTGACTGAGAACCTGAGGACACTACACAGTGCCATGGTAGCAACGTGCCAATCACAAAGTAGCCATGCCCTAATGCATACCCTGCTTTATCATGTATTTTAATCTAAATGGGACCAACATTTATAAAACGAACATCATGCTGTATTAAAGAAGACTAAGAACAGAAACTTATTGGGAAAATGTTTACTGTGGTAATAAATCAAGTGAGAAGTAGTGCCATTTTACCATAGACTCCTATAAAAACAGATCTCTTTTTGCTGGCCATTAGAAGAAATGCAGGTTTAAAGTCCCCCTCTAGACATGTTTAATATTTAATTTTAAATGGTTTTCCAGTGTGAAAAGTTGAACATCGGAAAAGGGGCTGGAAGCACACCTAGTCTTTCTTTCTCACTGAGAAATTCTGGCTCTGGCCTTCGTCCCACCCACAGCTGTCATGTGTGTGAAGAAACATTATCTACTTCGTTTGCTGCCAATGTACATCATCCAGGGATTCACAGAACCTTTCGTTGCCTATACAACTTTTGTGGTTTTGGCTGTTTATACTAAACTCAGTGTGTCTTTACCTGAGGTTTTTGTGGTAAAAAAAATATATGAATGCTGCTTTAAAATCAATAGCAGGTTCTTACCTGGACTCTCTGAAGGTTCTTGATGCAACCGTAGGTGGAAGTTCCACATGACACCCATTAGTTTGCAGCAGAACATTCACATGGTGTAACAACCTCACGTGTGAGTTGTAACCTCAAGAAAGAACAAAAGTCAGTGAGGACAAACACAGGACCCTTTAAGTGTTTTTACCATTTGTTATCCCAGCATAGAGAGACAGTGCAGAACATTCTCAAGGTTGCATTATTGCTGTAACTGTAAGTTTGTCAAGGATTCAGTAGGAAGCAAGGTATAGCCACTATTTAATGATACATTAATACGATGCTGCCACCTACTGGAGTCTGTTCATTAGTGTTATGGGTTCAGTCTCCATGTTTTATCTTCACAGCTGAACCACAGTGGTGCTCAAAGGTCTGGGTTTAATAGACAGCATCCTGCCCTCTGTGCTGTGTGACTGTTACATGAGGTGACTGTGGCTCAGAGTCTGTGATTCATTAATCACACTGTTGGTGGTTTGATCCTGGCTCTTGCTGGCCACATGTCCAAAATGTCCTTGAACAGCCACTGAACCCCAAACTGCTCCCCATTTCCAGGCCAGCACCTTGCATGGCAGCGCTACTGTTACCAGTGTGTCTGTGTGCGTGTGAATGAGAACCATCGTGAAGTGCTTTGTCTTGCTTCAGTAGAAAATTGGAATACAAGTAGGCTGCAGACTATTTACCATTTAGAACCAGCTTGGAATTTGAACATAATTTTGAGTGCAACCTTTGATTTTCAGGGGCCTTTTCTTAAATAAAAAGTAAATAAGAGTATTTTCACAAAAATGTATTTTTAAGTATCAAAAGTAATTATGCAGTGTGAACCCTGTCACTGTTATATTTTTATATGATTTATTTTTATTGATTTTATATTTATACTCATGCGAACCTTTTTTTGTATGACTGAGATGAAGCACATTCTAGCTACATATGTTTGTTAGATTTATGAATAATAATGCATTGTAATTTGTCACATGTACATGTCAAATCTCATATATTTGAATATAAAATCTTAAAGCACCTTCTTCACTGGTCAAATTTTAAGGACATTTTAGTGTTCCATAATATTTGGTTGTTGGTTGTGTTTTTTTTTTTTTAACATTTTAGGGACAGCTGACAAGTAAAAAAAAGTAAAGTAGTTTATCTTGTACAACTCTTGGTCAACCTTTTTTTCCCCGAGTTTTAAAGGTATCTGTAAATATGGAAAATATATTTTCCATCCTCACTATCATTTACAACCCCAATTCCAAAAAAGTTGGGATGTTGTGTAAAAAAAAAAGGAAAAATATAGAATGCAATGATTAGCAAATCTTTTCTGACCTATATTCAACTGAATTCAGTACAAAGACAACATATTCAATGTTCAGTCTGATAAACTGTATTACTTTTTGTAAATATACACTCATTCTCAATTTGATGCCTGCAAAATGTTCCAAAAAGGTTGGGACAGAAGCAACAAAAGACTGGGAAAGTTGCAGAATGCTCAATAAACACCTGTTAGGAACATTGCACAGGTAAAGAGGTAAATTGAAAAATGTGAAAGTATCATGACTGGGTATGAAGGGGGCATCTTAAAAAGGCTTAGTTGTTCACAAGTAAGGATAGTGTGAGGTTTACTACTATGTGAAAAACCATTTGGACAAATAATCCAACAGTTTATGAACAATGTTTCTCAAAGCACAGTCGCAAGGAGGTTAGGTATACCACCACCCACAATCTATAATGTTATTAAAAGATCAGAAATCTCTGCACGTGAGGGAAATGGGGCAGCTGTGGTGGCACAGAGCTAGAATGGATCACCCACCAATCTAAAGATCAGCAGTTTGATCCCCGGCTTTGAGTGGTTGGAGGACTAGAAAGGCGCTATACAAGTGCAGTCCATTTACCATTACAAGGCTGAAATCCAACATTATATTCAATTCAATTTTATCTATAAAGCCCAATATCAAACATCAATTTTCCTCACAGGGCTTTACAGCACACGACATCCCTGTCCTTTGGACCCTCACAGTGGATAAGGAAAAACTCCCCCAAAAAACCTTTAACAGGGAAAAAATGTTAGAAACCTCAGGAAGAGCAGCTGAGGAGGGATCCCTCTTCCAGGACGGACAGATGTGCAATAGATGTGTGTACAGAACAGATCAACACAACAAACTTACTGTAATCCATGAGGGGGGGATTCACTTTCAGAACATAAACAATTTGTGTTCCAAGTTCCCAAACACTTACTGTTGTTAAAAGAAAGGGTGATGTCACACAGTGGTAAACATGCCTGTCAAATTTCTTGAAACATGTTGCAGACATCAAATTCACCTGTGTACCTTTACAAAAAGAACTATACATTCTATGTTTGAACATCAAATATCTTGCCTTTGCACCGTATTCAGTTGAATATAGGTATACTTTCAAATCACTGCATTCTGTTTTTATGTATTAAACAACTTCCCAACCTTTTGGAACTGAGGTTGTAGCTGGCCTTTTCAGTGTCCAAATGGAAATGTATCAAGATATCTAACATTCTCCCTCTCACAGAGTCCTGCCTTTAACAAATATCACTAACACTGAAACAAGCTTTAGTGAGTTTTGAGTCTGCCGTTACACTTGATGTTTCTTTGAACAAATCCACAAGAACACCAGCTCACATACAGGGTACATTTGTATGAGTGTAACTTCCAGGAACTACCATGATCACACAAAGTCCTATAAGTTGGGTAAAAACAATTTTATTTTGAATGCCACATTTGTCCATGTGTCCAGAGGTGTGTGAAATCCTTGTAAAATAGTTTAAATAAAAGTTTAATATAAATAAAACCTCAAAATACTGCACAGCCTATAAAGAGAACTATTTTTTATACAAAACTGATAAGTGTGAAAATTAAAAAAAAAAAACAAAACTAAAATGCCAGACACTCAAACTAATGACAATTTAAACTAACAAAGCCTTGTTCCATCAAGGCAACCAAGCAAATAGACCTGAGCCATGTCTACAGAGTTTAACAGTCTCTTCATTATAACCTGGAGAAAAAAAATTGGAACAATGACCATTTGGCTTGCAACAGGCTCTGGATAACTGAATTACAGTCCGGTCCCTGGTCAACTTGCATCCTCTGCCATGAACTCACACAGGACAGCGATCATACAAAACACTGTAGAGCTCTCCAGGTCATGTCCGCCAAACCTCAACCAAAAAGGGAATGTATAGCTTTCCTCAATATTAGGTCAGTTGGGAAATTAAATATTTATTTGTGACTGAACAAGTCAAACCAGGCAAACTCCTGCCCATTAAGTTTTTCAACCACTAAAACACTCGGTCAAACTCTGTCTGACTGGTGGTGGCTGGGTTTCTGTTCTGGTTGGGCTGCTGCTGCGGCATGTGGCCTCTCCGTCTGGGTGGTGCTAGGTATTCAAACATGGAGGTGTTGTGGGAGGAGAGCATGTTCTTCAGGTCTGATGGCATGGGGTCAGACCAGAAGAAGTCGTGGTTGAGCGCGTCATCACTGTCTATGCGCTGTGCCGGGTCCAGGACCAGAAGTTTATCGATCAAATCCAGCGCATATGGGTCTTTGACGTAGGCTTTGAGACGATCCTTCACTTTCCTCTTTTGGCCTTTAGGCAGCTCCATTTTCTGGTAAAGCTCATACTTCTTATCAACGCCAGGCCACACCTGATGGAAAGAGAAAGTGGTTCATTATCCAGTTGACAAAGACGACAAGTATGCCACTTAGTGATACAACTTTGGTCTAAACTTGAGGGCTGTAGTCAACCAAAGAAAATCTTGGTCTACCAATCGATTGGTCTGGTAGTGTTGTGTATCCAAAGTTTTTTTTTTTTTCCCTGACGCCAGCGTATTTTTTGAAATTCTTTGCAATGGTAGCGCTTCCTATATGAATATGAATGCCAGCACTGTGATGAGGCACTTAAATGTCTATTCTGAGGGCTGTGCGTATGGTGATTTTTTTTCTATTCACAGAGAGTTAAAAAGATGTTCAACTGTGCTTCTCAGTGTCACCCAGCTGTCCAATCACAGTGGAGAAGGGGCAGGACAAATACTAAAAAGACCAACTATCACATCCTACATTTACAAATGCTGAACAACAGGAGAAATTAAAGCCCAGTTCAGACCAAAGATTCGTGACAAGACAATAGGTTCGTTCGAGATGAGCCAGGCCTGCGCAGATTCGATCACTGGCGATCAGCGCACAATGCATGCTGGTTAGTTTTGTGTCCGACTTCATCCTGACTTGCTCTGACGTATTACAAAAGTGGACGGCGATAAAGCCACGAGAGCATGGCGGCTGCAGTTTTTAGTGCCAGGCGCTGCAGTTGCTCTCCACCTACTGCACCGCCTGGCTCTCACCTGATCTAACAGCTGATTGGTTTAGATGTCGACTCAACAATATGACGTTTTAGATAAACTATTCATTTTTGTTGAATTTTAGAGATTAAGATTGTATTTGTCTGATCTGAAGGTTTATTCTGTGAACAGAAAACATGTTGTGTGACTGATGGTGAAGTTTTGTTGTCAGAGACTTAATACATTCATCATAAACTATACAGAGTCTACTGTACTATATTAATATTGGACAGTTTAATTATTTAAGTATTTAGCAACACAGAGACTTGTGGTCAGTGGGATGTGAGGATTCTTAAAATAACATCAGATGTGAAGCCCTGACTGTATCTGACTGAGCCTTAATGAAAAAAGTTGTCTTGTATTTTTTTTCCCTCTGAAAATATGAACCTTATAGTCAAACACAGTTTATTCAGCCTGTGTAGTTGAGGGGACAGGTCAAACTGATATAATGCTGATTTACAGGAGAATTCATATCAAATAGAGGATAAACCATGAACATAAACTACAGATCACCTGTAAAGCATTTTAATAAATTAATCTATCATAATTAAAACAACTTGAGACTGAAAACAAACTGATATATGGGTCTGATCACTTTTTTAATGAATTGACATCATTCCAGACAGGATGTAAGTGTGTCTGTGACTTCCTGTATGGGCTGAAGGCTGCTGGAAACTGTCGGGAAACTGTCCGACTTCACCGCAGCTTTTTGTCACCGCCCCCCGCTGCGGCCGCCTGCTCTCGTGTACTTTTCAGGCGAGGCGCAGTTCATCTCGAACGAGCCTAATGAAACAGGCAACTACTTGCAATGTGCCATTCTGCAACTAAACAACGCAACTAAATGAGATGGTGTATCATCTCTACGCAACAACCCTATGTACTTCTGTTCTAATTTCCAGCTTTTCAGGCTAAGTTTGTTGCCAAATGTAATTTGTAGCTTGATAAAATATGAATGAGGATAGTGATAGGGACATACTGGCTACAACTGCATTTGTAGTCGTGATGAAACGGCGAAAAAGAAAAACAAAACAAGCATCAGATGGACTGTATTCATATTAAATATGCCACAATAATATTTATCAGTCAATGAGAATAACCATATACAGTGAGCAGCAGCACTACTGTCTGACACCGGCACACAGTGAGGACAGAAACAGAGGGCTAGGTGGGGACCGAGTACCTGCTGCAGCAAGCACACATGCCATCTGTGGTCATTTTGACTTGACAAGCCTGGATGTTGAATCAGCTGGCTTGGGGTGAGCTCAGACCAGCTAGTTCACACCACTGAAACTTTTCTCTGCAACGTTCTAAAACAGTTTTGTCTAATCACGAATCATTGGTCTGATCAGGGCTTAACGGTGAACCCACAATAACCGACAGGTTGGTCCACCTTTCCACCTGCTTAAGCCTTCCATTCATCTATAGAATTGAAACTCAACTTACAACCTGTGGGCCAAATGCGTTGTGTCATTTTGCAAAAATGGCCCCAAGGCAAAGCAAGTTGAGTATCCCTGATGTGGAGCAAGGGCCAAAGCATGTCGTCTACTTTGTGCCGACATTTTTACTCCCACTGATATTCCATATCACTGCAACCAGACAAACAGTATCTCAGCTGACAAAAAAAAAATGCTGTCTTTCCAAAGTGCTCTAGTGCTCCCAGCAGAGTTAGAAAAAAAATGGTGCTGGCCCATGTGTCCTAGAAGATTCTAATGTCCCAGACAAACAGGAGAAATTATGGTCAAATATTATCTGTGTTTATTGAATAGATGTGCATGAACCCTGGCTCCCAGCAGGACATCACAGGAGTTCCTGGCAAACACTTTGGTGGACACACAGCCTTGTAAAAGCAACACCAGCAACTGTTTGACCGATGAAAATTTGGTCAGACCAGAGCATATTGACCAACCCACTAGTAGGCTTCAGCTCTACTGAACTGATGTTCCCTTTCAGTCGATTCACTCAGTACAACACATATAGTATGGGATATCACGCCCCCGCATGGCCTGACTGAAGAAACCTCTATTCACGCCTTTAAGGCAGATGATCTGTGGTGACGCATGTGAGGCCCCGCCCGCACATATATACCTGCGTCGCCACAGTCATTCTTCAGTTCTTACGCTCTTCACCTCACTAAGAACACCTCTACCGAGTGGGTTAGCTAGCTGCAGCTAGTTAGCTCTGTTCTATAGGCTACTGCCGACGCGAGATTAGCTTAACAGCCCCTGTTGGTGTTAGCCATCGGCTACCCGCTGAGCTCTAATTTCTTGTGTATTTTCTAGTACTATTCATCGAAGGGTTTCGTGTCTCGGTATGAGCACCAAGCCTAAACAGGCGAAGAAGAAGTCTTCTGTTCGCCCCTGTCCTCATGGGTGCGGCTTCTCTTTGCACGACAAGGACCAGCACGAAGCGTGTCCCGTCTGTCTGGGAGTCCTCCATGCTAGGAGGGCGTTGATTGAGCCCGGGTCTTGTGCTTCTTGTCGCCAGCTCTGGAGCTCAACCCTGGAGAGGCGGGTTACGTTTTTGGAGAAAGTGCTGGGGAAGACAACCGTTTCACGGCAGGACCCCCTCCTCTCCGAGTTGAGGGACCCAGCTTCGTCTGAGTCCGACGGCGAGGAGTTTTTGGCCGAAGTCCCTGCTGGTGACTGGGCGGACCAAATGGAGTATGTTGACGGGTTAGCCGAGTGTGAAACGGACCCCTCCGAGGGCGCTAGCCAGCCGCCGCTTCAGCTAGCCGCTTGCCATGATGACGATGACGTGCTGGACATCGGTTTGGACGTGCACGGCTTGTCGGAGGATGAACAGGAGGCTTTGTCGTCGGGCTAGTATGCCGCCGCTGCTGCGTCAGTTGACCAGGACGACACATCCTTCCTCTCGCTGTACTGCCGTGCAGCCGAGAAGCTGGAGGTGGAGTGGCCCTCTCCACCACTCAGAAACCGTCGCGGTTTGCGGGATTTTTCCCCCCCCCCCCCCCCCCCCCCCCC